TATATATATGTATATGCAGAAAAACTGAATTAAAATGTAATATCAGATATAAAAAAGACAATTTAAGTTAATTAGTTCAATACATTTTTAATGTATTATAAATTATGATGCTACAACTAAGAAATGTAGTTTATACATATTCAGGAAAGCGAAGCGAGTATATTGCTTTTGTGCACTTTCTGTCTGTCCTTCCATCAGTCTGTCCATATGATTACAAACCATATCGACGCTATTGAAACTAGAAACTTGAAATTTCGAATACATATCGTACATAAAGTGTCGAGTTTTTCCCGTTACGCCACCTAGGGATATGGTTAAACGTACTTTCAATTATCTTACAAAAAAGGGAGCTAAAATATGGAATACCTATTCGCGTTGACAATGTAAATTCAAAAAGATATGGTAGATATATCTAGAACTGTAGCAAAGCAGGCGAACCTGTGTCTTCTACAGATTTAGAGCTACATATTCACAATTTAGTGACTAAATTACTGTCGACATACCCTACTGACTCGCACTTTATCATTATATACCAATTGGGGGCGTGGCTAATAGGAAAACGGATCTGACAGCGTTTGGGCTGTGAATGAGTATTTTGGATCCGCTAATGCCCGACTACAACTTTCTTACTTATTAGTAATTCAAAATTGACAAAAATTTGAAACAAATGAACAAAATTGTATACTGAAGACTTGTGTTTAATTTATTATTTATCGAGAAGATTTTTTATTTCCTTATATATGAATAAAAAGTTTACATTAAATCACATAAAAGAGAAAAACAAATTTTCTTAATTTAATGACCAGACATTTTTTTGTTTATTCAAGCCCATATAGAATGTGTAAATAAAARAAAAAAAAAAAAAAAAACAGGTAAGAAAACTCTAGTCGAGACTGCTCGATTACGATTTTTACAAATATAGCGGTGAGGGGGGTATAGGGATTGGCGGGTGAATTATAACAAAAATCCAAGCTCTATAAAGTACATATGAATTTATATATAACATTTGGCGAGTCTAGCTCTAAAGATGTAGGATATATAATTAAATAGCTTATTTTCAATCATGTCTTTAATCGAAAAAAAAAAAAAAAAATAAAATAACGGGAAGAGTTATCGATTCTTGGAGGTAAACTCGATATCCGCGCTATATATACGGACATATTAAAAAATTCCAATCTCTAGCTCTTATATCTTCTGATATCGGCTTACTAATACGGATGGATGGACGGACAGGGCTAAATCGACTCAACTCGTCGCCCTGATCAAGAAAAAAAATACTTTGTGGGGTCTGCCACGCCTTTCACAAAAACATTAGACCCTGATTTCCCATTTTAAATGAGTTCAGGTTATAAAAACAGTTCATGGCATTTTGAGCGAGATCTAGTATATAAAATATCAAAAAAACTATGAGAAAACCCATTGGTTCTTATTCAGAAAATTTGGCTTATTTAGCTTTTGGCTTTAACGAAGCTAGACTAGAATTAGCAATCATACCAGCTTTTCTAAGCATCTGCATGCCTACTGAAGATGATGCGCTATAATTCCATGCCTTTCCAATACGATATGTCAATTGTATTTACGTTTTCTGCCTAAAAACTGGTAAATTTTTTCATTTTATTGAAGTCAAACGCCAAAAGTAACAATTTTTTTCTTTCGATATATCGATACTAAGAAAACCATATGCCCGATGTCTTTCCAAAATTCGAAAATATCGATTATAACGATACCGATCCCATATTTTTGCAGCACTGGATCAAAAAAACTCAGCAGCTCAACCACATTTGTAAATGCTTATCCTTCATAATATAATCAGACGTATAAGGTGTCAAAAAAAAAAAGGGAGAAAAAAATGGAACGCAAAAATTTAATTTTTCCTGAATCTGGTTAGCTGTTCACCGCATTAATTAATTAACAGTGGTAACTATAACTATAATTATAATATTGCAGGTTCCAACGACCGTTCGAATGCTGAAGAAAACGCTAACTTGGAGTCGCCGAATAACGAACCAACTATGGACGAAGGCGCCAACTCGAATGAGGCGAATGGTCAAAATGCGGCAGCTAATAATGGGAACGTGGCTAACGGTAAATAATTTATATTTATATTTATAACAATTAACAATTCTATAGTTATGCATACATATTTTCTTATTTACATATAGGCACGGCTGGAAATGGGGGGTCGCAGAATGCATTTCCAAATCGAAACATAAGAATGATTAGAATTGCTCGTGGGTATCGTGGTAAGTGCAAT